AATCTTTGTTTCGATGAGAAGGTCAAAGAGTTTGGCTTCTCGAGAAGTGAAGATGAGTCTTGTGTGTATGTCAGAGCTAGTGGGAGTATAGTTAGCTTCTTGGTACTGTATGTGGATGACATACTACTTATAGGAAATGACATCCCAACCTTGCAGGAGGTTAAGTCTTGGCTTGGGAAGTGCTTTGCTATGAAGGACCTAGGGGAAGCTGCCTATATCCTACGGATAATGATATTAAGAGAAAGGAGTAAAAGACTAATTGGACTTAGTCAGAGTACCTACTTGGATAAGGTGTTGAAAAGGTTCAATATGCAGAATTCCAAGAAAGGAGATTTACCGATCCAAAGCAACACCAAGCTGAGTAAGACTCAGAGTCCGAGTACAGAGGCAGAGATAGCTAAGATGAGCCAATTACCGTATGCTTCCGCTGTTGGCTCAATCATGTATGCTATGACTTGTACCCGCCCTGATGTGGCCTTTGCTTTGAGCATGGTCAGCAGGTATCAGGGGAACCCTAGTAAAGCTCATTGGACTACGGTAAAGAACATTCTCAAGTACCTGCAAAGGACTAAGGATTGGATCCTTACCCTTAGTGGGAGTGATGACATGAGAGTATTAGGGTATAGTGACGCTAGTTTTCAGACTGATAGGGATAATTTCCGCTCTCAGTCGGGCTGGGTCTTCACCTTAAATGGAGGGGAAATCTCTTGGAAGAGTTCCAAGCAGGAGACAGTGGCTGATTCGACTTGTGAATCAGAGTATATAGCAGCGAGTGAAGCAGCGAAGGAGGCGATATGGATGAAGAACTTCATCGGAGACCTTAGAGTTGTGCCAGCTATTAAGGAGCCTATGGAAATTTTCTATGACAACAATAGTGCGGTTGCTTTAGCTAAAGAACCGAGAGATCATGGGAGATCCCGACACATTGACAGAATATATCACTTCATAAGACACAAGATAGAAGAAGGACTCCTCGTGGCAAAGAGGATATCGTCAGATGAGAACCCTGCGGATCCCCTTACAAAGGGACTGGCGAGGGCTAAGCATTTTTAGCATGCAAGGCGCATCGGGCTGAGGGACGATATTAGTTTTACAGATTAGATAGATTTTATGAAACTTGTAAAATGTAATCGACATTTGATGATGAATAAAATTGTGATTTATTTATGAGTAAGGAGTTGCTATCATTGTCAATTATTTACAATTGTTTCAGCTTTGCATGTTTTGACTTCCAGAATAATTAATTTATTCAAACCTCCACAATCGGTCATACGTCGGAAGTAGGTATGAATCAAGATTGTCATGAATTGGGTTTGTAGATGGCTAAAGGTGTTTAGACATGGCAATGATTGCTACAACGTTCATGAGTACTCATAAGTTATGAGTATTGGAATAAACCCACGCTCACTTGTATCACTTCATGGAATTTATCTCGAGTGATCGTGAGACGGTAATATCATATAAATCTTCAAACCTAGAGATATGAGTTGTTACCTATGAGTTGGTTGTGCATTGATTGCACATAAACGCATCAGTAACTTGATGTTATAAAACGTGCCTTTGTGTACAATTCAACAAGTAGTAGAACAAGTATATGAGTCGAAGTTTATTGGGTTCCTTCTAGAAATAGAAGCGATATCTGGGCCCCTCGATGATTTTGTGTTGACCCATGTACCGGGCCCGGTCAGAACTAAATTGATGTGTTCAGTTGAGTTCTTTGTCAAACAAATCGGAAATCGAGAAAAAAACTGCCAGACAATAAGCAAGACATAGTTCCATGTGTTTGTCCGACTGATATCATGAGAATAGAGGATTGTATGATCACTTATCTTAAAATGGCGCTTCATAGTTCAACAGAGTTTTCGAGAGCTACGATTGCCAGTTGGTTCCTGAAGTAATAGGCAAATACAGTTATTAGACTTATCCAAGTGGTAGTCTGTTGGATAAGGTGTCTAAGTCCATAACTTATTTGGTATATACTTGACCCGACCCGGCATGGTCCATTTGGGTTGCATTTCATCCAAACTATTTATGGATAATTTTATGAGAGTTATACACATATTATTATTAATACATTATAAGTTATAACATATTAATATGAAGTCATGTTATTTAATTAGTCTTAGTCTTAAATTAATTATGAATTAATTTAGAGATTAAAAGGAAGACTAATTAGATTGTGGGCTATTGATTTTATATGGTGTGGGCTAACACCCATTTGTTAGTGGGCTAGGCTTGTATGGAAGTCCATGGAGCTTTTAACCCATGGATCCTTGGAAAAGGAAAGGTCATGGGTTATTAGGGTTTCACCCTAATCATGTACACTATATAAGCATGCTTATGTTGCATGAAATAGCCACTAGTGTGTGTGCTTGTGTGTGGCCGAAAATTGTAGTGTGTGTACACTCTCTCAAAGTTTTCCAAGAGTTTGTGGTGATTTGTGATTCCATTTGAGGCATTCACACTATTGGTTCTTGGCCCTCAAACTCCTTAAGAATCAAACTCATCAAAAAGGTATGTAATCTCTTCTAACTCTTTTATGTTTAAAAGTTCCCCATGCCATGTTAGATAGGTTATGAACCTTGGAAAATTAGTATTTTGCATGTATTTAGACAAACATAGATCCAAGGTTTATTAGAGTTTCATGCACACTTAGGAAGTGTTAGATTGCTCAAAACCCAACACTTACCATTTCATCAATTTCAATCTTCTTTTTTTCTTTTTTCTCCTTAACCAAAGACTGCATAGAACAAACATTGTTAAGATCAAATAAACCCTAAACCCTAAACCCTACTCGCCGAGTCTGTTCTTCGGACTCGGCGAGTCCGTGCCATGAAATGACTCAAACTTGCTCATAAGGGCAGATCCAATCCATTAACCCATAGATCCAGTCCTTCCAAGCTTATTTAGCACGTAAAGCTACAATCTTGATTCACATACAATCTCTATATGACCATATATGATGTTTTTGACTCAAATACTACAACACAAGGCCATAAACTCCATTGCTATACATCAAGCTTGATGAGTGAGGCTCTCTGTACCTCTATGGATCCAGATCCAGAGCCTCAACATAAGGAGGGAACTATTTGGCATCAAAACATCCCATAAATGTCCATAAGAAACCCTAAATCCCATTATACTTCACAAAACAGAAGATAGATCGAATTCATACCTCTAGATTGATGATCTAAGCTTCAAATCCACGAAATGGCAACCTCTTTTGCTTCCTCTTGCCTAGAATCTTCTCCTTCTTTGCTAAATGACACACACAAGGTCAAGAATGCTTCCTTTCTCTCTCAAAACGTTCAAGCACACAATGGTTTCTCTCTAAGGGTTGGGTGAGCAAAAAGACAGCCATAAGGCCCTTTAAATAGGCCACAAACCCTGGAAATTAGGGTTTCACCACACAACGTGGACTCGCCGAGTCCACTCTTGGACTCGTCGAGTCCGGACGCGAACCCGTGCCCAAATCCGTGGTCCTACTCGACGAGTCTGGGCTCCAACTCGCCGAGTCCACTCACAATTTCCATAAATAATCCAAAATAAATACCTGGAAATTCCAGGCTGTTACACAAACGATATGAGGGAAAATGTTTTACAGCTTAGTAGACTAGATAGTGTACTGAAAGATAGGAATATTTTACAGACAAGTACTTCATAGATCACAGATACGAAAGGCTATTCCTTATCAAAAGAAAAGATGTACTAGACATCTTTTAACGGTGATGGGAATTCCTCGGGCGAACCCTAAGGTCTTCCATCTGACGTACCACTTCTTAGAGTTATCGTTCATGAGCTCTCTGGCGAATTCGAAGTTGTGTGACTTCAGCTCGAGAGGCAGCTAGTTGTTGCTGTAGAGTCTCATTAGTCCTTCTGGTCCTTTCCATCGCCTCTTCAAGATGGCGAATGCGGATTGTGTTGACTTGAACACACACAATGATCCTAGTTATCATATAATAAACATATAGGTTACTAATTAGTCAATTAAAAACTAATTAATCAAGTTAAGACACCCTAGGTCATGGAAACACTTTGATTCAAGTGCTATAGGTACCAAAGTGTTGCATCTAAGGGTTATATGACATGGTGTTGGAGTTTATGGCCCATGAACCACCCCCTTATGGAGTTTACGGCCCATGACCATTTCCCCATGAGTTTATGCCCGTAAACTCATGGTACTAAGTGCCAAATTGTGTTTTAAGGTCTTACAAGTCATGATTGCACATCCAAAGATCAAGTCCAAGCCTTACGAAAGCATTAGGGGCCCATTAAGGCTCCTTTGTGGAGTTTACGGCCAAAGGACCATATCCTTTGGTGTTCACGGCCATAAACTCTCTTACGGACATGTTTTGATTGTTGTTTAAGGTCTTAAATACTTCTAGGAAGGATCAAGGTTGGCATCCAAGGCTTAGGAAGGGACTTATGTCCATTTTACCACCTTAAAAGGGGTTTACGGCCCAAGAACATCCTTGGCCATAAACTCCTTTGTTCTTATGTTATTTGATGATTTTCAAGTGTTATCAAGTTCATATTAAGCACACAAGAAGCTAGGGCAAGTGTACTTAGGGTTTAGGGTTTAGGGTTTAGGGTTTAGGGTTTAGGGTTTAGGGTTTAGGATTTAGGGTTTAGGGTTTAGGGTTTAGGGTTTAGGGTTTAGGGTTTAGGGTTTAGGGTTTAGGGTTTAGGGTTTAGGGTTTAGGGTTTTGGGTTTCGGGTTTAGGGTTTAGGGTTTAGGGTTTAGGGTTTCGGGTTTAGGGTTTAGGGTTTAGGGTTTAGGGTTTTAGGTTTAGGGTTTAGGGTTTAGGGTTTTTTTTTTTTTTTTGGAAAAAAGGGAATCCCCTTGGTAAAATATATTAAATATAGGAAGAATTACAAAAGAAAGGGCAAACGCCCAAGAAAAGAAAAAAAGACAAGCCAAGCTAAGGGACATGCCCCAAAGCAAGGCAAAACAAACAAACAACTAGAGACTAACTAACAAGATAAAAAAACTAAAATCGTCATCCCTGGTCAATTGGGGAGGAGATACAACCACCATGAGAAGAGCTCGGAAGTGCGTCTGAAGCTGGGAGGGTATCTTTCGACTGCATAACAGGAGGGACACGCGAATCATCTTCAATATCAACCACTCTTTGATGAGATAGAGCATCGAACATGTTAGTGGAAACTTTTTCCTTTACGGTTGACAGGTTTATAAACTTGAGAAATCTGTAAAGCAGGGCCTTTTCCTTTACGGTTGTCATTGGGGATCTTCTTTTTTAGTATTGGAACTGATCTAGTTTTCCTCTTGACCTTTTGGAATCCTTCATTATCAACCTCTTTTAGTGGGGGCATTGTCGGCTTTGGGGTTGGAGTACTAGTTGTGTGAATTGGGCATGTGGCAAGGTCATGACCAAAAATTTTGCAATGGTCACACCTCTTAGGATTCCAAGGATACTCCACTCGAAGTTTTGTAGAAGTTGCACCTTTATTCACGATCGCTTCGATTTTTATTTCTTTAGCCCAAGGATCTTTAGCCGACATCTCGATGAGGATACAGGCGAAAACCGCTCTACCCGTAGCTCTTTCACACATAGTAGTAGTGTAAGAATCAACCTCCAAAGGTTTTCCAAGTTTTCTAGCAATGAGACTAAGACCATCCTTATTAAAAAGTTGGAGGGGAATGCCAAAAATATTAACCCAAACGGGAACCCGATCATGAGTTGGTTGTTCTATGAAAACGTTTGGGTCCCATTTGCGGATGAAGAGAGGAATACCATTAATCTTCCAAATTCCCTTTTGAAGAATATAATTCATACCCATAAGATTGTCAAATTTGAAGAAGAAAACATCATCATCATTTATGAAAAGATCGCAAAGGCCATGATCCTTCCACAACTCTTGTGTACGTTGTTTAACAATCGGAAATGCAAGTCTTTTCCCCACAAAATATCCATATAAGGTTTGTTCAAATGGGATGCTACCTTTTTCCATGATTTCCGAGAGGATAATAATATGATCATCATCTAAGGAATCAACAATATTAATGAAGTCTAAAGATAAAGATTTAGGGGGGACCTCATCGTGACTACCATAATTAAATATGTGGGAAGAAGGATCCTCCGCGGTAGCTGGATCATTATGGACGAGATCAGGAATGGGCCCAGTAGACGAATTATTATTCTGGCCCAATAATACTTGCGCAAATGAAAGAGGTTGCTAGGTAGAAACTTGTGACATCCCCAAAATCACGGCCAGAAAAGACCGATTTTCATTTATGCTTTTAAAATAATTTCAGAGTAAATCCTTTTGATTTGAAAGAGTTGCGGATTTTGTTCCCAAAAACAAAACATGATAAAACAATGTTTACCAAAGCATTTCATAAAAGAAATGTATTTTTCATTATATAATCAAAACTCAGGGTGTCATGTTCCGATACAAACCAATAAGCATAAACGATAACATTACAAGTCATTCAACAAATATATACATATGCAGACTTGTAAACAAAACAACTTGATGGTTCATCCATCTTACGCCCTTGCGCCACTTCCTGTAATACAAATAAAACTGAGTGGGTCAGGCTTGGGAGCCTGGTGAGCATATAGGGTTTTCAACCCACAATAAATAAATTATATTTAATTTCACCAACCAATCACTATCCCGATTACCCATTCCCGTTATCCTCACTTTACGTCCCTAAAAAAACATCTATCTCAAGGGACCTAAACTAGGATTTTCATCGGGACGGACATTACTGCTAAGGGGTTTCCTCAACAATAGATATCCTAAAGGAAACATGAGGGGGATAGAGTACACCGGTGAACACATCGTTCACAACACCTACAGGTTATGAACCTACTAGCGTTCCACGAGATTGTCTAGAAGGAGTCTGTGGTCGCTGAATAACTAGGTCAACAACAACAACATCGACGCCTCTCATCTGTTTATTACACACCAACTATCCACCCATGTTCTACCCAACATATTAGTAGACAAAAATATACATTTTTTATACATAGTTTAAAACCTGTATATCATTTTCATTCAATATATATTCCACATAATAGATGAGGCACACCCACATAACACGTATTTCATAGAAAGCAAATCAGATCCATGAGATAGAAGAAAGTGAATATACATTTACACACATAACAAGAAAATATACACATAACACGTATTTCGTATAAAACACTTCATAATTATGCGTTAGAAGAAAGTAACTACACACTCACTTGATCAAAAGATGATCGGACAGCACTACGGCTCGTACAAGTAGTAATCCTCAGCAGATCTGGAAGATCTCTACAAAAATCGAACTTCTCACGGGCAGAGCTTTGGCTCGGAAACCGCACTTCTCGGGATCTTCGGGATCTCGGGACTTGCTTCGGGACTCAGGAATATTACCGGGGCTTCGGGGTATTTTTGGCACGCAAATCGATGCAAAACGGGAGAGAGAATGGAGAAAAATAGCAAAGAAGTCGGCTGCCCTCGCATCCTATTTATAGGAGGCTGATGCCTCGCAGTACGCGGGGCGTACAGCAGTACGCGGGGGGTACTGCTCCGAAATCATAAGCGCATGCATCATCCGAAGTCCTCGAGTGCGAGTGTCAACATCTTCGTTGTACGTGGGGCGTACACGATGTAACGCCCGTAGATCAGGGCTAGTCAATTTAGAGACAATAAGCATCAAAAGTGACTTTTTGATAGAAGATTATTTAGGATCAAAAATCCTAACTAAGTTTTAGTATATGTTACAAGGTTTTCGTGCATATAAACAACGCCAAAATCCGAGTTATAACGAAGAAGTTATGACTTGTTAAAGTTTCGCGACAGAACCGGCACAACGCTGAATGACGTAAAAAAGTAAATTTACGTTAGAGTGATATTTAGCCTTAGCGATCTAAACGAGAATTGACGATCTCGTTGTTAGTAGCGAAACGACGAAAAGTTAGGCGAGAACGGACGTCAAACGAAGAAGTTATGAATTTATAACGAAATTTTCTGTCCCCGCCTATTAAAAATAAATAATAAAAATAAAGTCAAAATTAGCCGACGGAATCTAAACGAAAGTTGTAGAGCGTAGTCTCACCTACGCGTGGATATAAAGAACGTCGAAAACGGAGTTCGTATGAAGAAGATATGAATTTTAGAAGTTTATTAATTAATTAATAATTAAATTTAATTATTAAACCCCGGCATTATCCGAAGAGGAGTCATCGGTCTGATCCGAAGTACGCCCCGCGTACAGCGAAGATGTCGACACTCGCACTCGAGGACTTCGGATGATGCATGCAGTGACGAATTCAGACGCGTACGCCCCGCGTACTCCGAGGCTCCAGCCTCCTATAAATAGGATGCGAGGTTGCCGAGTTTCTTTGCTATTTTTCTCCATTCTCTCTCCCGTTTTGCCTCGATTTGCGTGCCAGAAATACCCCGAAGCCCCGGTAATATTCTCGAGCCCCGAAGCAAGTCCCGAGATCCCGAAGATCCCGAGAAGTGCGGTTTCCGAGCCGAAGCTCTGCCCGCGAGAAGTTTGATTTCTGCGGAGATCTTCCAAATCTAGCGAAGAATACTACTTCTGCAAGTCGTAGTGCTGTCCGATCATCTTCTGATCAAGTGAGTGTATACTACCTTTCATAAACACGATAATAATACAAGTATGGTTTGAGTGTATTAAGTTTATTGTTGTTTATATGTGTGAGTGTGTAGTTACTTTCTTCTAACACATAAATATGATGTATTTGCTATGAAATACGTACTATGTGTTTATATGTTATTTGTCTATTTGAGATGGGCATGAAAATTGGAGTTTTATATAGGTGTTAAATGATTTAAACTGTGTAAGTATTTATATCTACAAAATTGTTGGGTAGAACATACGTAGATGGAATAGTTGGTGACTATGGAGTTAGCGCATATTGTATAAACCTTGGCGACTATGGAGTTAGCGCACGTTGAGTAAACTTTGGCGACTATGGAGTTAGCGCTTGTTGAGTAAGCCTTGGCGACTATGGAGTTAGCGCTTGTTAAGTGAACCTTGGTGACTATGGAGTTAGCGCCAGATAACTATGGATTTAGTACTTGATAAATAAGCTTTGGCAGCAATGGAATTCGTGCCAAATTCCTTACGAATAAATGAATGAAGGATAGTTGGTTCTTAGGGTAAAACCTTAAGAAGATAATGGGGATGGGTAATTGGGTTGATTGTTTGCTGATTACATATAATAATTATATTATTGTGGGTTGAAAACCCTATATGCTCACCAGGCTCCCAAGCCTGACCCACTCAGTTTTCTTTTCATTACAGGTAATGGCACAAGTATAAGTTGGTGGACTTGACGAGAGATTTTGGATTATAGATCAGTAGTTGAATAACTATTGTAAGGTTATTTTATATTGTTTATGCTTTTGGTCTGTATCGAACATGACATCCCAAGGTTTTATTATTTAATGAAAATACATTCTCTTTGAGAAATGTTTTGATAAATTTTATCATATTTTATTTTGGGAACAAATTCCGCAACTCTTTTAATCAAAAAATTACTCTGATTTTATAAAACAAAGCATAAACAAATCGGTCTTTTCTGGCCGTGAAATTGGGGATGTCACAGTTGGTATCAGAGCATTAGTTTAAGCGAACTAGGAATATGGATTTATTTCTAGACTTAAACTTAGAATGCTAAGCAATGATTGTGAGTTGAGTGTGTCCATTATATTTTAGGTAGTACACCTAAATTGACACAGGCACTATTTTATTTTAGGAAAATTGCCTAAAATGCTATTATGTGCTAATTGTTATATGTTCGTCATATATGATGTTAATTGTTCGGATCTATGGTCTGTTGCCGACCGGATCTAGAAACCTTATGTGTTTAGGATTCTAAGCGTGCGTCTACGATATTAGAACTAACAAGTAAACGTTTCGGAGTGATAAGGATGATTTGAATATCTATCGTGACTAAGGATCTAATTTCACCTTATTCGGTGTGTAGATCAAAAATGGTGAGAACGAGGAGTGGAGTTGGAAATGCTGATGAACACAGGAATCAAATACCAGTAATTGAACAAATACCTGTTGTAGCAGCAGTGCCTGAACCAATGACAATGGTCGGAGTTCAAGTAATGATCCAGGCAATGTTGAATAATCAGATGGAAGAAACCAGATGTCTGATCAGGTAGAATCGCGAGGAATTGTCAATTCAAGTTGAGGAGCCCAAAGTAAATGGAGGGCAGTCTGAAGGAGGAAAATACAGTGGGACCGTTGGTCAAGCCAACCCACCAATAGTTTACCAAAACAACCAGGATAGAGTAAATGATGGATGTGGATGCAAGTACAAGGATTTCATGGCATCCAAACCACCATGTCTTTCTGGGAGCCCGACACCGGTGCAAGTCATGGACTGGATCTCCCAAATGGAGACAATGTTTGAAAGTTGCGAGTGTAGCAACAGACAGAAGACCGCTCTTGCAATCCCTCTGTTAAAATCTGGAGTATTGAGCTGGTGGAAGTTACTGGCTGGTTCGATGCCCAAGGGGGAAGCTAACAAGATGTCTTGGGAAGAATTCATGGTGCAACTGAAAATGCAATACTGCTCTGAGCAAGATCTTCTGGAAATCAACAATGAGTTCCAGAATCCAAAGAAAGGAAAATTGAGCGTTACTGAATACGCTACGAGCTTTACGGAGAAGATGAAGCTTATTCCACACCTAATTCCAAGTGAGCTTTCCAAGGTCAACAAGTTTGCCAATGGATTACCAGCGGACTTTGGTCCGATAGTCAAACAAGCAACCACTCTGAAAGCCGCCATCTGGGCAGCCAAGAATGTTGAGACCCAAATAAAAGAAAACGGTCTGGAAAGAGCTGAAGTTGGAGAGAAAAGGAAGCGTGAAGGATCTTCAATAATCGACAAAGAAAGTAAATTCTCGAAATCTGGGGGAAGAGATGAAGCTAAGTGGTGTGAGAAGTGTAAGAAGAAACACTTCGGGAA